GAGAACGATCATTTGCCACCATATTCCCCAGATATTGCGCCGTCCGATTTTTACTTGTTCCGTTCGATGGCCCATGGCCTGGCTGATCAACAGTTCCACTCATATGAAGACATCAAAAAATGTCTTGATTCGTGGATAGCCTCAAAAGACGAACACTTCTGGCGTCAAGGTATTCGAGCTCTACCAGAAAGATGGGAAAAACTTGTGTCTAGCGATGGGCAATACTTTGAATGATTCATTTGTAACCATTTTTTAATAATAAAGTTATATTTTTATCGAAAAAAAGCGAGACCTTAGTTGCGCACCTAATATATTAATGTCAATATTGATATATAGATGTGTAACCTATGGATTTAGTGTTTTATATTAGTTTGATGTTAATAATATGACAATTTTTAGTAATATGTATTAGACTTTAATATAAAATATACACTAGCATAATAAGATTTTCTCGAAATTGGGAAATGTAGTGTATAGAAAATAAAAATATAATAAAATATAGGGAATTAAGTATCAAGTACAAAAGATAATAAAAATACCTTTAGTGAAAAATATGAAACAAAATTAATTTATTAAATTTGGATGTTACGAATATCACAACTTATAATATATCTTTAACTTTTTTTGAACTAAGTAATAAAAAATAAACAGAGATTGTATACAATTTTCTTACAAGTAATTTAAATTTCAACACAGGTACTTTACCTCCTTGCCTCAGCCAGTATCAGTATTCTCGGCGTCGACATATCGAATGACGTTCAGTTTCGCGGTCATTTGGAAGACAAGGCCAAGCTGGCCTCCAAAAAACTGGAAGTGCTCAGCAGAGCGAAGCAGTATTTCCAACCGGGCCACCGCCTCCAGCTGTTCGGCGCAAGTTCGGCCCCACATGGAATACTGCTCGCATCTCTGGGCGGGAGCACCCCAGTACCAGCTTCTTCCATTTGACCGCATACAACGGAGAGCGATTCGAATCGTCAACGACCGAGCTCTTAGTGATCGGCTCGACACTCTGGCACTGCGGAGGGACGTTAGTTCCCTCTGCATTTTCTACCGCATATACCACGAGGAGTGCTCTGAAGAATTGTTTGGAACGATTCCTGCTGCCGAGTTCCGTCATTGGACGACACGACAGACCGCCAGGTTCCATCCACACCATCTCGATGGCTGGCAATCCACAACCATGCGGTTTGCGCGAAACTTCCTGCCTCGCACAGCAGCGTTGTGGAATGGTCTGTCCTCGGCGGTATTTCCAAACCGCTACGACTTAGGGTCCTTCAAGAAGCGAGCTTATCACCACCTCAAAGGCCGGCAACGCATCTGCGGTTCCTCTGGTATTGCTGATGTCCATCGGCGTCGTTGAACACCTCGGTGTTCCCGCTGCTTGTTTGCCCCCTTCTGTTATAAAAAAAAATATCCAGGTACGATCTCCGCTATATAGCAATGCGTTCTTCGAATTTCTTGATAACATCCATCCGACATTTTTACTGTAATTACAAATTGCATACAACTGCATAGATATTCAAAGATATGTGTGAAGTCAACCAACCCTCACTGGCTCTGCGTTGTTGAATAAGACCTAGTCGCATTCCTGAGGGTAGGCTCCGAGCTCCTCAGTGGAGTATAGTGTGTCCGTATAGTGAGTTTGATGATGACGATTTGTTTTGCTTCAATGCATATTGTCTTGTTAGCAATTTTCTAAATATTTTACCAACAGATAGGAGCTAATCTCTTTCCAGTATTATTCTATTTCTCCCGACGAGAGTGACACTACTACTCCAGTTCTATCAGAAAATATGACCCAAAGAGTATAGTAAGTAGGGTGCCTTGTTGAACAGTGAACCAGCCTTTTTTCTAAGTCATGTAACTTGTTAGAAATTAAAGTTAAGAATTTCGTTTTGGTGTCATGGTTTAGGCAATTTAATAGTGTTTCTTATATTCAGTTTACAGAAAGCCAGAGAAACGAATAAAGACCGTAAATCAAGTTTAAAAAAAAAAGAAAATTGGCTCACTGTGTACTATAGGTAGTGTACACTGAACCACCTGTATTTCAACAGTGAACCACTATTTCGTTACCAGTAAAAATCCTGTTTTGTGAAATGACCCCATCAACTTTTTTGATAATAGTCTTTTACTATAAAAAAGTATTAGTTCTTATAACAAAAAAAAATATTTTCAGTGCTTTCTTTATTGTCATAATAATATCATCCTTCATTTAATTACCAACCAGTTGAAACAAGAACAGTTGAAATTTTCAAAATAAAAAGGTTTCGTATAGTTTTCTTCAGCAGTTAACTTCTTAATTACGCTAAGTTATCATATAAACCTCTGGATAAAATAAACAATCAGCCTTCCTCAAATAGTATAATTAACGGTCATCATTTTAATGTCACTGAGTTTTACATTAGCCATATCGGGTTCTAGAGGAAACATAAAGGTTTCATTAAGAGGATCTTTAAATTTTTGGTACAAAACACAATATTCATCGCCAGTTTCTATTTTTAGAAGCTTCACAACGTAATAAACAGCCCGTTTTTAAGATTGCAGTAAGACTAGGATATATTCGGTAAATGTTGGGTTACGCTGGTAATCAGGAGAATAATAATTACATCTTCCTCATCCGACTCTAGGACCGGTTCACTGTGTACTGTGCGAACCTGGTTCACTGTTCAATACACACACTATTTAACTTATAATATTAAAAAAAATAGGTTGTAGGTTGTATTGTCACAAAGCAATATGCTCATGAAGCGCCTAAAACTACAACGATATCGACACCATAAAGCTTTTGTTAATAGAATTAATAAAAAAATATATAAAAATCGAGACACTTAAGTGAGAATTCTATGTTTTTTGGCGATAATCAAACAAATCGCTGTCACACTTGACGCTCAAGCCGAAGCCACCAGGTAACTACGGGAGATGGTAAGGGTGCCTACGATAGAAGTTTTAACATGATCGGTTGAATTGGCAACCTCGTAGTTTTTTCAATATAGTGGTGGTCCAATGTTCCTGGTTGGTTCACTGTTCAACAACCGACCCTATACTATAGAAAGAGGGGCAACTCGCAAGAAGTCGTGAATCCACGGCGATTGTGGCGCTCCATGCGTATAATGGGTGAACTAATTTTTTTTTGGTACCTATATACGTAGGCACGCATATTTAGCTCACTATAATAATAAATAATAAGTGGAAATCTAATTAATAAAGTTAAAATTGACATTAAATCAATGTTAAAAAATAATATACCCACTTATGTAGTTATTAATATAGTGAACCGATATCAAGTAGCCTCCTATGAAATACCTCTATTAAAATGATCCTATTATTGGGGAAATAAAAACAAAATATTGTTATATTTTTATAGATTTTTTATTATATTTCTACATAACTTAATTTTAAATTTATGCAAGTACATATACATCAATGACTTTCAAGATATCAGCTCAATATTGTAATTTTTAATGTATATTTTTGAAAATTACATTTACGATAATAAATAGTATCGCACGGTCACAAAAGAATGCATACCCTGTAATTAAAAACAAACCTTAAAGTTTTTTCAGTCACATGCAAGGTGGCAACTCGCAATTTGTAGTTATTTGCAAGTTTAAACACTCTGAACATATTAGTTACAACATAGGCAAGCACATTATTCTTTACAAAAAAAAATTACAAATAAAAAAAAATTTATTTTTTACATATACACTTATGGACCCACCTAATAATTTCAGACACATCAGTTTAGTATTCTAGTGATTGACACACATTTTCTAAACATCACTGACCGTCTCTCTGGATGGGGAAAGCCTTGTACATTTGCACCTACAACAAACATACAGAATGTGATTTCCTGTCAAGTATAGAAACTGAAATGTAAAATGTATTAGAATTAGGGCACCATTCAATATGATTTTACCGGAAAGTATAAATCACAATGGTGCTAAATAAAAACTACACCAAAATACGAAAATATTTAAATGTTTAAATGAGTCTGACGTATGGGAATAATATGAGAATTTTTATTGAATTGTAACTTACCATAAGCAGTCCATCTAAAACACAGCGTCCTTTTTCATGAAAACACATTTTAATTAAAAACAAAATGAATTGAACAACATTTAACTAAGAATACAAGAACAGAAATAGAAATACGAAAAAACGTAGCAGTTTGACAAACACATGAATGTTTCGATGACACAAATGCTGTTTCTTCTTAGCCATGAGATGAAATGATGTTTACCAAGATTCAAAAGGTGGCGCCACTTTCCATACAAATCGTCTTTCTAAGTTTCCACTCCCTGATATGACCTATCAAATAAACAAACTGGAACAAATAAGCATTTATCAAAGTTGGGGTATTTTGTTGGTGAACTAAACAATAATGGTATTATTACGAAAGCAGTGAACATTATGTTGCGTTCTTAAAATATGTTCGCTTTAGTCAGAAGATTAAATTAAAGTTGCAATTAACGAAATGGTTTTATTTTTCCTAAATTGTTTTCCCTCGAATAATACTTTTAAACGTCAAAAAGGAAACTGACAGATTGATTTTTTTAGGTTGGTAGCAACGTAGACTTGTTCATAATATTGCTAGCATTGAAAATGACAATTTTTATTCTCCGTTTGTGTATCTAATTAGTCAAAAGTCCAGTCTCTTATTTTATATACTCTTTGTCCTACTCGTAAATGTGACCATTGACAAAAAAGCAATGAGGAGGGGAGGGAGAATAAAGAGGTCAAAGATTAGTGTTCCCACATTAAAAATGTGATATTTCATAATTAAGCATAATTCAATCACTTGTAAAAAAGACTGATTCATTTTGATAAGTTATTTAAGTAAAACATTTAAGTAAAACCACATTACTACAAAATTTCTAAAGTCTGTATTTGGTAATAATGTTATCTTCATTGAATAAGATATGACCTAAAGGTCTATGTTACCAGGTCATAAAATTAAAAAAAAAATTGTCTTTATTGTTATTTGTCAATGTCACATTTCGTGCGGATTGTCGGTATTTCATCAACGTTGCAATTTGTGTGAAGTACTATTAAATTTAGCTTAAGTTAAATGAAAATTGTGTCAATTAATTTTAATAAGTAATTGTACGTTTTAATAATCGAAATAGTCAGTCTTTTATATACTAGGTTAGATTTATGTTATTATTTTATGTGGACATGTTGCAATATTTTCTTCTTTTGCTAATTCAATGATGATCATAAAATAATGTTTTTCAGTTGCAAAAATGGTAGATAATCAACTCAATAATATCTCGTTAAAAGATGAAGAAGACGATGTTGTAGACCCATGGAACGTATCAACCAAATCGGAAACCGGACTTGATTATGACAAATTAATAAGTAAGCACACCAAAATTTATGAAACGAATAACGAATTTGTAAAAAATGATTTTTGCTGAGTTCTTACACTAAATTATATTTATTTTAATTACAGAAAGGTTCGGAAGTCAAAAAATAGATGAAGAACTTATAGAAAAGTTTGAAAAAGTAACTGGAAAGAGAGGTATAGTACATTGCAAAACTGTGCTTAATAGTTATTGTAAAACTTGCAAACCAATCTTTTACAACTTTTGCTGACTATAAACATCAATATTGTTGGATCAAAACCTTTAAGAATTAAATTAAAAAATAGCAAAGCAATTTTTTGTTAATTAAATTGCTATCACATTATAAATATTAAAGATATAACTTTTTATTCCACAGCACATCAGTTTCTCAGACGAGGAATATTCTTCTCTCATAGGGACTTGAACACTATATTGTCGCTTCATGAGTCCAGAAGGAAGTTCTACCTGTATACTGGCAGAGGTCCATCATCAGAAAGCATGCACATTGGTCACATGATACCATTTATGTTCACCAAGTGAGTTATTATGAAAAAGCTACTCTTTATTTGCTAAGAACTCTACTACTACTTACATTGTTTTTTAATATTGACCTTAAACTTTGAGTTTACAAGTTTATAGTACAAATCGTTTGTTTATTACAGTATATGATATATTCTGAATATGTAATATTGTTATGTAGTATTAACAAGAGTTTTTGACTATATTTTCTAGAATCTAGACTGAACAAATAGACATTTGAGCAATTCAAACTTAATTTTTATTAATAAAATCTTGATTAAAGTTTATAAAAATAGGTAAAACACTCACATATGTTCATCGAGTGGCAGCACCATATTATATAAGTTGTTTTATTAGTTTATGATTATGGTAATGTCTCATGAAAGTTTGAACAATCTTGATTGTTGCCTCTTGCTACGGGCAATATAAAAATTCTTTCCATTTTTCAATAAAGTCATACCAAAAGTTATGTTATTCCAGATGGCTACAGGATGTTTTCAATGTACCGCTGATTATTCAGTTGACTGATGATGAGAAGGCGATGTGGAGAGACATCAAAGTTGAGGATGCCCGTAAAATGGCACACAGCAATGCCAAGGATATTATTGCGGTCGGCTTTGACCCATCAAATACTTTTATATTTAATGATTTGGATTTTATTGGGTATGTTAAGTGTAAACATTCATTTGATTTGTACAGTCAGGGCGCTTTGCAGTGTTTTACTTACAGAAAAAATCTTGTTTCCCTTCCAAAAATTTTGAAAAAAAAAATATTACCATGTCTTTCTTTTCCTTTTGAATAAACAACACAAACAAGTACAAATACAAGTTTTTACAAAACTTTACTAGTGAAGAGTCTTGGATAATAAATTCATATGTAATTTTATGTTAATCCTATTTCATTTGTGCATTTTTTTATTCCAGGCAGTGCCCAGCTTTCTACCAGAACATGGTTCGGATACAGAAGTGTGTGACCTTCAATCAAGTCAAGGGTATATTTGGTTTTGGGGACTCTGACGTCATTGGCAAGATAACATTCCCCTCAATAGAAGCTGCACCTGCGTTCTCAACCACATTCCCATTTATATTCGGCGACAAAGTTGTAAGTCTTATGCTTTTATTTTAGAAATTTAAATCATTCATTTAATGATTGTTGGATGACAATTTCATTTTAATATGTTGACACAAAATACATACATACACATGCAATTTTGCTCCATTTTCATGGAGGGAGCCAGTGTTACCTGGAACTAAATCTGCTTCAACTCTATTATATAAGTCAATGGTACATCGTTCAATTTATGTTAAACTAGCTATTGCCCGCTCGATTTAAATAAAAACACAATTTGTAGCCTATGTGTTCTTGCAGACTATGTTCTATATGTATGCCAAATTTCATAGAGATCCGTTCAGTTGTTCTAGAGATACCTTCAAACAAATATCCATCCATCAATGTATACATTCGCATTTATAATATTAGTAATATATAATTATGTATTTTTTTTTCACAAAATTTATATTCTTTTGTTTCTCGTATTATTAAAAACTTATCATTGTTGAATACATAACTACACAATGTTACATGTAGCAGGGTGTAGCGGGTACATGACCTTGGGCAACCAAGATATTTAAGAAGAATTTATAATACATCATTTCTATCCTCATTTAATACAGGTGCCGTGCTTGGTGCCGTGTGCGATTGACCAAGATCCATATTTCCGCATGAGTCGCGATGTAGCCGCACGGCTCAAGCTGCCGAAGCCTGCGCTCATCCACAGCACCTTCCTGCCCGCGCTGCAGGGCGCCCAGCACAAGATGTCTGCCAGTGATCCCAACGCATCTATATTCCTTAACGACACCCCTAAACAAATCAAGAATAAGGTAATTCGACATCTTTATCCGGCTCACAAGGTTTTATTAACCATGAAGTTTTGTTTTAATTTTTTTTTGGACAAAATAAGAATGTGCCTAATAAATCAATATATGTGAAAAATAATTAAAAATGCCGAATTCTAGCAAAAATAGGTAAGCGTTATTAATTTTTAAGTTTTAAACATCAAATTCAAAATATGTTCACCGAGCAATTTCCGATTTGATTTTCCTTAATTCTCATGAGGGTAATTATCTGGGATTATCCTCAAATTCTTTCTTATATTATAATTTCAGATAAACAAGTACGCGTTCTCTGGTGGACAGGCGACAGTGGAGGAGCACAGGGAGAAAGGTGGCAACACAGATGTTGATATATCCTTCAAGTATCTCACCTTCTTCCTTGAAGATGACGACCATTTGGCATCGGTACGTTAAATTGAACCTACTAGCTCTTGCCCGCGATTTCGTCCGCGCCGAAATATAAAAAAAAACTTATTTTGTAGTTTATGAGTTCAATGGGTATGTTCTATATCTATGCCAAATTTTAGTGAGATGCCATGCAGCCGTTTTGGACATACTTTCTAACAAACATTCATCCATCCATACATTCGCATTTATTTATTAAGAAGTAAGATTTGAAATTAATTAAAGATATTGCTTGAGTTTTATAACATACTAGCAGTTGCCCGTAATTGTGTTCGCGCGGAATTAATAAAATGTAATCATTTCAAAATGAAGTATTTTAATAGATAGAGAAGAAAAATATTGTACAAAGTTATGGAAATATTCATTTGAATTTCGAACGCTAAGTAACTGGCATTTGATTTTTTTTTAAGTTTTCTTTTGTGTTTTCACAGATTAAAAAATCTTACGAATCCGGTGAAATGTTGACTGGAGAATTGAAGAAAATCGCGATAGATACAATAACGCCTATCATACAGGAGTACCAGGCGCGCAGAGCTCAAGTCACCGATGACGTCATGCAGGAGTTCTTCAAAATCAGACAAATTAAAGTTTAATTAAAAAATATATGCTATTATTTATTGTTGTAAATATAAGCTTATATGTAAACATGTTTTTTATGCTATGACTATGCGATTCCTATTTAATACTATGTTTAACATAATAGAATTATTTATTTTTATCTGTGGCAAATTTTAATCTCTCAACGGATTCAGTACTAGGAGAGCATGAGTGTGTGATCGAAAGAAAAAGAAGCAGAAAACTGTAAAAGCTTCGTTTAATTCAACATATCGTGTTTTGTTAATCATAATTGCTGTAGTAATAATTTGCTATTGTGTAGTAAAAGGCGCTTAAATTTTGATAAACTAAGTGTGAATGTATTTATATCAGTGGTTTCAATACTTTGTAAAGGAAAATATAAATAGCTTGTCACAAAAATTTGTTTTTTTAATTATCCTATCCCGTTTTTGAGGAGGTATCCAATGGCTTGAGGCGAGAATATCTTATTAATAGGAAAAATAGAGCAAATACTTATAAAGTTTATTACATACCCGTGACGATCATTACATGGACAATTTTATTTTGTCAGCTGCATCCTGCCAAATGTGGCCTAGTTCCTGTAAGCGAGTGCATGACAAATGGCACGATATTGTCTACAGATGACGCGAGTACATGTGCGAATCGTGCCACCATATCACACCATGTATGATCTATGAACACTACTTATTCCAATTAATTACAGAACGCTTACAACCCAATCTAATAATAAGATAACGGTCTCAGTCAAGTAATACTCAATAAATACACATTCCTTTTTTAATTTAAAAAAAACAATTAGTAGTCTATGTGTTACTTCAAACTATGTTCTACGTCTATGGCAAGTTTTAGCGATATTCGTGCAGCCGTTCTGGAGATACCTTTTAAGAAACATCCATCCAAACATTCTTATGTATAATATTAATAAGATATGTAGGGTTGTAAATAAGGTACCTTGACACATATAGACCATGACATATAAATTGCGGTCACATCCGAGTGACTCAATGTTTTCATATTCCTCTGCTATCAGTTACTGATTGTATGAACAAGGACCATTTTTAAATTGTTGTCATCATACATACATACATACAAGATTTTAGAATATGTCGAGTGAAAAGTAATTATTAAATATGTCATAATTAACTTTTTGTTAGTTAGTATTTACGGTATTAATTCTATAAAAGTGAATAATGTAAAAAGGGGAGTACAGGGATGACAAATACCTCTTAAGACATTATTTAGAATATGTATAGTCATGTACTTATTTCAGTTTTAATTACGTACATTAATGCCAGGTTTCTGAGACAAAAAACCTTGCATTAAATATATTGTCATCTTTGATTATAAGTTTTATATAGATATTTTGGTTTTAGAAACCAACGATAACTGAAATATTTTTAGAGATTTTAGGCATAATTATTAAAATTAGCATAATACAGTGAGATGTAGAAAAACAAGAACTTTGTAGCAACGCGATTGTAAGATCCAGATGTCTAATTGAAAATTCCAATAGACAAGGTAAATTTAGGACGGTATATCCGTTTGTTCGAAAATACACCGCTGTACTATAAATAAGCAAGAAAAGTGTATACAGGTTTATTAGTGGAAAAACGAGAGTTTTAGAGTTTGTATACATTGAGCTAGATTAGTTATTTTTTTTTGTATCAAAAGAATAATTGCTATTTCTCCGTTTTTTCCATAGTAGAAAATAAAATAAATAATTGCGTTGCGCCTAGTTGTCGCCTGGTGAACGTTTTGCTATTCTTTTTTCTATTTGCTACCAGGATAGCATAGAGATGCTGGGTTTTGTCACATGATGTTTTTAAAAATTATTTTTAAATTGAAGCGTAACTATTGTACCAGGATTGTATAAACGTAAACGGCATTAAAAGTTTCAGATAATGTTTGGAAAGCAACTTAAATTTTGTTAATATTTAAAACGGCAATAAAACAAATTGAGTTCTACGTATAAAGTAATAAGTATATTGTGAGTAATATTGTGTTTATTTGTAACAGAATAATTTCATTTTTACTCGCAATTAAACTACCTACGATTTATGAAAAAATATATATATATAGTATGACACAAACACCGCTTTTGAGACAAAAAGGAGAACCTTATTCAAAATGAAACCTATACAGTAACACTTGTGTACACAACTTTGATCCAATATGCATGACAATAGCAGTGAAATGTGGATGACACAGTCCTTACCAGCTACCGGCAGTGTAGACACGAAATAGGACATAAATATTACTGTGAAAAATAAAAATATCCATTTTAAAAGTGCTTCAGAAGTTAAAATGTATAATCAAACATACGAAGAAGCACCAATACCTTTAGTAGCAAATTATACGATAGATAAAGGCGATGATGAAGGAAAGCGGGAAGAGGATCGGGTTATTCTGGAAATAGGACGCCCAGATGACAGGCCACGTGAAGAATTCACTTTCTCACATAAGAAATACGACAAGACGATATCACATCACCGATCTTACGTATTAGATGAATATACGGAGCCGAGAAGAGTTACTTATTTTAGGCCACATGAGTTGGAATCGTTACCACAAGAAGGTATGTTAATTTAAAGTAAGAAAGAAGAAAAAATATAATTAATTCTTAGACGATATTCGATATCAAAGTTAGTATCTTATAATGAATTCTACAAGCCATTAAATGTCAAGAGAAAAAACGAAAACTAATAAAATCATTAATTCCTAAAACAATGGTGTACATAATTGTACATAATTTGTGTAAAAATTATTTTATACTTTACATAGGTTTCCAATACAATGAGTACGAGGGCTACAGAGATGCGATAGTAGCGCAGGATGCGGCCAACTCTGAGTCGTCGCTGGATTTCTCGCACGAGTCACAGGACATCAGCAAATACGACGACCACCAGTCTGACGTCACCAATTGGAAAGAGAGAGCATTACAAATGGAAAAAGGTATTTCCATCGAACAATGAACTCATAGCTTAATTTTACAGTATCTGTTTTCAAGTAGTTTTTGATCCATCAAGTTTTTTTTAATAAATATTTACCGGATAATCAGCAATGTTATTTTAATAATATTTCAGAATATAAGAAAACGGCATGCGACAGAGAACGAACTCGCATGCGCGATATGAACCGCGCTTTTGACCTGTTGCGCTCCAAGCTGCCAGTCACCAAGCCGTCTAAAAAGAAATATTCAAAAATCGAATGCCTCAGGTAAGATGCATCATGTCCTAAAAATGTATGGAAGTTATACTTAGTTCTATAATTTTTTTATCCGAAACCTATTCAGTTTTCTAAATTATTTTAAATAATTGGTACGAATAAATGTTTTTTTTTACAGGATAGCTATCTGTTACATCAGACATTTAGAATACATGTTATCAGGAGGCGCACCGGAAGATAACCCAGCATTTTTCGAACTGCATGCCGTGGAAAGGCAAAGGCAGCAAAGGTACTAAAATTCAACGTGAATAAATGAGTCATCATAAAAGAGAGAAATAAGGTCAGAAAGATCGGTGAAATTGGATAGGATTAGATTTAGGTAATTTCTTTTTTAAATTATTATTACAGTAAAATGATTACATATTTTTTTACCCAATGTGTAGATTAGTTGTATAAAATTTATTAAATTATCATTTAAAACGCTGTTTCTATCCCCTCTTTTTTAATTACCAACTACCAGGCGCGCATGGGCTATTAGCAATCATTGTATATGTGCCTAATTTAACTACTAAACTAATAAAAAAAATCAAAGACAAAACTTTATTATCAAAACAGTGTTGCAAAGTACAAAATAGGCATAAAAATTCCAAACAATGTTGCAATAAGAAAAATATAAAATATCACATTAGATTTAACCTCTTTCTTTCCGTAATTTTCTCTCCTTTGCCTCTTCGGCTTCCTTCCTTTCTAGTGCCTTTAGGTAATCGATATATGCACATTTTATATGTACTGGAATTTTAACGATGCCTTTAAAAAAAACAAAAAGATTAAAATTGATACATTTCTTACAAAAATTGTTGTAAAAAATGTAAAAAACGGATTTCAATAGTGTAATTTTACTTTTTTTAATTACATTAAAAACTTATGTTAAACGTTACGTATGAATATAAATCTAAAGTAGTATATATATGATAAAATTTCAACATAATATAGAAATTATGTTGATGATTAAAAATAGTTTACATAATGCATACCTGAAAAGCATGTGGTTACAATGTTCTTGTAAATTGAGTATAAAGGTGCCAACAAGCTTTCATTATTTTCTTTTTTCTGTAAAAAAGCATCACTAATTTATTATTCAATAGTTACGACTTTTTTCTTGCGTAGTTTTTCAAATAAAAAAGAAAAAATATTAGAAGAACATTAATTTACAAGTATCAATACACTGGCAACATTTCGTTATAGAGGGAATTCGTACGGGTTGTAGTTATCCGTAGCATGTACTAGGAATTCATAGCATATCTATTAATCGAATTGGCACCGAAAGTCCGCTTTGCTGCTCGACAGTCGGCAGAATTCAGTGGCGTGTTGCCTATCGTAGGAAGCGGACAGATCTTACAAAATGAGAGAGCTGTCGGGCTTGCGATGTCGCATGCTTCCAATGAGAGACCTCACCAACCAGGATAGCATAAGTCTGTAGATGTTACTTCTCTTCTAAATGCCTTTTAGATTTGTAATAAATTATTTCGAATATATAACGATTTATTTATTTATGATTTAATAATATAATTAGGATAAAACTACTTTAATCAATTGGAATGATACAAGAAAAAGTAGCCATAAAAGTAGTATACTTAACTTGAAAATAAATTTGAAATTCATCTTAACTTGAATACTTATTTGAAAATGTAATACATACTACATACACCTAATAGAAAATATGGTTCAAATATTTTTCACAATAGACTTATAATTCTTTTCTTCTTGTTAAAAAAATATAATGCTGTGTCATAAATGTGTAAATTAGAATTGAAATTGCTATCTATCTATGCCTGTGCTTATAATATTGTCCGTAGAGCTTGTGAATAAATTCGCCGATGACGTAAACATTGTTACCAGGAGTGGATAAAGTGGAGGTATCGGGCGGTAACACGTTCGTGCACACTTACAACAACACGACCACACTTGTCGAATAAGGGCGGTTTCCTCGTATTTATGCTGCGCATGTATTCTTGCCAGCGACGTATACATTCCGTGGAGTCATTTTGGTCGCCCCACACTCCCTGCGAGTAAGTGAAATAGGCAGTGCCTACCAGGATACCAGCCTGTAAAGAGAACAAAATAATGAGTTTACCGCCCCTCCTTATTGCCTAGACAAGGTACCAAAAAATTATAAGTTAAGAGGAGGTTAATTGCTATTGAAATAGTCGACAAAACCTGAATAACGTCGTAACTTACTTTGACTAAATACATAAACTTGCCGTGAGCATAGGGTACAGTTACTTTAGGTGGTTTCTTGGCACTTTTTAACTGCAATTCCTTGGTGCATATGTTTATACACGTTGGCTGAATGGGAACCTCTGAAAAAGTGTAAAAAATTCAAAAGACATTAATAGGATATGACACTTATATTATACATATTGTCATCCTTTTCTTCTCTTTGACAAAATAGAGACAACAATATGAATTTTTATACAATTCAAAATCCACAGCAATATTAATGATAATTGTTAGCTCAGCATTTAAAACCACGACAGCAAACGATTTTATCTTGTCCTACATACTCAATGTAAATTACATTATAATAAAAAAAAATTGGGCAAGCAGCATTACATTATTTGTAATAAGTACCAGGATAACATTGCCTTCAAGAAGCACTGTTGTAATATTCTAATAACGGCTTTACGTAAGTGACAAGGATAGACTTATTGCTGTAGCATAAGTAAGTAAGCGAAGAATTGATCCTGTGAAAAGGCAGTGACGCTGAGCGGTATAGAAACTATGACGTAAGTACTACTTATTTCGAAACAGTTTCAACGGTAGCACTATGTATGAAAATACACTTCCAATCCATACCGTAACGGAAGATGGGTTAGCTGATTCATTGTCCGATTAAAATAGACACCTTTTGTACCAGGATAGCAGACATCGACCGTGGTATCTTTGAGACACACACAGTCCGTAGGCAGCAACAAAATTGCTACCGTGACTTTTGGTACAAAGAGGGTAAATATTGTTCTGTACGGACTATGGAGGAACTCAGGTCTGATGTGGTTAACTTCAAGTTATAACTTTGAAGTCTGCGGTAATTTACTTATAAGTATTTTACCTCGGCCAAAATTTTTTGTTAGTTTTGCGACGATCCCTTATTATAAACATGAAATATAATTAGTAGAAAAATTTATTAATTCTGAATATGATGGTTATTATTTTTATATACGGCAAGTATAGTTTTTCTAGAATTTTGGTATAACAGCTACTTTAGGAAAGTCTAGTAAATTAAGAATAGTTTGTGTAAGTGGTCTTTTTTAATTGATTAACAACGGGTGACGTAAGGTATATTGTTATTTTTATACCAAGGCACCATATTAGGAGAGGAGATACCTGTAACGCGACCGCATTCTATCTTCTTTGGCGGAGTGCATTTGTCGTACATTTGCATGTCGGGCTTTGGTTGGTTTATGTGCTTCGCCAAATTGATCGTGCGACATGGCTCGCATCTTTCTTTATTGTCGCACATTTTATTTATTTTACATTTGTATCTTTTAACAACATAAATTTAGAGAAAGTCATGAAACGAGTGAAATATTTATGACAGGTATTGATGGAAAATTGGCATGAAAAAACAAATGACAGTTTCTTGCCAGAATAACGTTGGTAAATAAATCCTCTTATGTGATAGAGATTTTCCATGACTCGGAAATGTATTGTTTGGTTTTTCAAAATCATTTTATTAATTCTTCTACATTTTTATAAATTTAATCGAACGATTGTAAGAATACTAAATTTCAACTTTTACTATATCAGTATTTCTCTTTTTAACACAAAGGGTGATTTAAAACGTTGAGAATTTAAATTCGTTCGCACCTTCGTGCCTAATTAAAGCTAAACGTGTGTAGCTAACTGACATTTTAATGAGGGTAATTATTTAAGAATTAACATTTAATAGGAAACTAAGCTTCGAGAAATAAAGGAATACATTCTTGTAAAAACTTCTATATAACAACTATCCGATTTCAACAAGAATATAAACACAATCGATAAAACTTTTAGGACTTAGTTCATCATCATCATCAGCTCACTATACGTCCCCACCGAGGGGCTCGGAGCCTACCCTAAGTTAATGGTGATTAGGCCATAGGCAACCACGCTGGCCAAGTGAGGGGTTGGTTAGGATTTAGTTAATAAGTACTAAATAGAAACCGAACCTTTTATTTCCAATAAGAAATGAAACAGCTAAATCTTTATACAAAAGAGACGTGGGACCTTTGACTAACGTGTCGGAGAGTTGGCGCAAAATGCTGACAATACCTTGGAATGCAAAACAAACGTCTCCATACTAGAATAGCTCAGTCACTAAAAGCCTTTCCACGTTTTAACTCAGTTGCACATTGTAGCATTTCGGACGCGTCATGAAGCGATCCTCCAAAAACCTTGAAAACTCACAAGTAAAAATTAAAACAAGAGGCCATACTTGGCTGATAGTAAGAACCACACAGAGTAGAGAAACAATGTACAAGAGATGGTCAAAAAGAGATGTGACTGTCAGGCCTAAATTAATGCTCAGGTCAAAATTAAACCTACATGTTTGTTTATATTGCTTACCTTTTTAAAATATAACCGTCTTGTAATCGTATATTTCTCGATTAATCCGTAAATTAATATTTTTTTTTTTGGACATAACATTTTTATTGTTCATTGATAGATTACAAAGGCGTGACCTATTCGATTATTCACGTATACGAAACAAAAAAAAAAACAAAAAATCTTATCTATGGAAATTAGACAAATAGATTATTTATCTATCATCGTAGTATTATTTGTTTTGTAGGGTAGTTTGCAAATAGTATTTTTTTACGGATAATAAAGATAAGAAACATGGTAATACGTCAATTTTTCCAAAAATAACCTATCTTTTTTGGATCTAATTATTCAAAATTGTATTTAAAATAATATAGAAACTATTTATAACCTGTGAAATATAATTGTTAATCATAAAAATACGTGTAACTAACAATTTATTGGTGTAAGTGTGGGGCCGGCGGATGTGGTGATACGCTGTTTCCTGCAAGTTGCGCAAAGCATAGAATACTTCCGTGACCATCATTGCTGATAAAGTGCGTATTGTTGCGAAATATTGCCAAAATTGGCTCCTCTGTATACAAATTATTATATACTTAAATTATATTTTATAGTTTGTCAGGTCAGTACAGCGGCCACGAGGTAATCGGACGAATGGACCAGTTAACCAAGTACCAGGACAACATAACAGATAAGATACTTATCAGAGCTTTGATATTGTTACACGAATAAAACGCGATGGATGTTCGCGATTTAATAATGTAGGAAATGCAGCAATATCTAAAATCCTGGCGTTTTTTCCTCATGTTTTTTCCCATGACTAAAATTAATAATCGTTTCCTCGTTAGTAATTTTTTTTAATATTTATCAAAGAGGTTACAATGCCACGATAGTCAAAATCCCTATATTGACATTGTGTTAGCGATTTGATAACAAAGTTAAATCTTTGTAAACTTTCTTCCACTTCAATATCAATAGAGTCAAAGTTTTGAAGTAAATGAAGAAGAAGCGCTAGAGTAGATATGAAAGTTGACCTAGGACCTAGAAAAGAATGACCTAGGTTATGGAGGATTGTAATTATTTATTTTTAATGTAGTGAATACGGTTTGTAGGTTTCTGCCCTTTTATTTGTTCTGTTTTTGTCTTACAATCTTACTAATATTATAAATGCGAATGTTTGTATATGTGTTTGTTTGAAGGTATGTCTAGAATAGGTGAACGGTTCTCCATGAAATTTTGCGTACATATAGAACATAGTCTGGAAGAACACATAGGCTACTACTTAATTTTTTTTTAAAATTCCGCGTGGACGGAGTCGAGGGCGACAGCTAGTTGTATATAGCATTAAAATTGAGTCTGTCTTTATTTGCATTATTGACAGCTGTTGCGTTCTTGTTAAATGTCAGAGCGAGTCGAAAAAAAGTCCTATGAAATGCGTACGCGCATTCGAAACGATCGCGTATTTATTCTTAATCAGTATCTAGTATGAATTTATTACTATTTACTACATCAATTTTTTTTATCAATTTATTTTATATTTTGATTTCAATTTTTTCTCGAGACTGGATTCAGTGGAAGTTTCTAGGCTGTTATTTTGAAAGGAAAGTGTGTTAGTGACCGTCCCGAGATTAAGATAAACGGATAATAAAAAAGACACAATTATTTTAGTATGTATCAGTCATTTTTATTACGATGTTGAGCCCCTTAGCCTCCCTCTCGATGGATTCTCGCTATCCAACTGTGAAGGAGAAATATCTCTAATTAATCTTAGTTAAAAAAAACCATTGTCTTATTGGAAATAAAATAATTTTGAGTTTTTCGCAAACTTCAATAGAAAGAAACAAATATAAAAAGTCATTGATTAGTATTGACCTTTACTTAAACAATTCTGATTTGATTTCGAGTGTTTTATTTATATGAAACATATCTTTTATTATACGTCAGATAAAATACATGAAAAGGTGTTTGAAATTACAATAATTTAAAATATTTTGTCCTTAACAAATTCACGAATATAAATGAAACTGGGGATAAATATATTCCTAGACGTTACGTAACTTTTCGCGAAAGCGAGTGTCGGTAACTTACATTTTTTTAAATTATAACCTCGAAAACGCCAAATGAAACTTTGTTTTATATTTTATGTACTCTTATCTTCATTATTAAAGACCTAATGATTAGTAGATTAGCAGTTAAACTCTCTACAATATTCCAAACTCTTAAAACTTATGTATTTTTTTAATTACAAAATGCCCATTGCATTAACTTCCAATTTTCAAATATAAACTGAATCCAATGAAAATTACATGTAAAGCTCCGTTTCGTGAAAAAGCTCTAAAAGCAATATAACTTAAGTCCATTGATAGATTTTATGAATGAGTAAAGAGGTGGGGATGAGACGACGCGCGCGCCACACGGCGCCACTCGTCGGCGTCGCAAACGCTTCGTGCGCGGCCAGCCGATACAGCGCTTCCTTGCGCACGCGCATCCCATCTCCTACGGGAACCGAACTTGTGTATCTTCTCTTGTGTTCAGTGCTACGGACTTTTTCTGGTATGCAGCAATAGTGATGGCACCGTTTAGCTTAAGGTTTGTAATTTTTTATTTTTTTACTTGCGTATTTTTTAATAGTTGACATGTAGTTATTTTTTTTTCTATGCGTATATAGCATTGTTTAATTTAATTTATTTGTTTTTTTATTTGGCTTTTAAATTATTCCCAGGACAAGGAAAATTGTATTAAGCTTTCACAGTTTGTTTATTTATAATATTATTAAAACTGTATAGATTCTATTAAGCATAAAATTGTATCATTACACTATTTTAATTGACCTAAATAAAGCTGAATTATATAAAATAAATTTCCGTATGATCAATACACAAATCTACATAAATATTTTATTTAAGGCAACGTAATTTTTGTAAATTTTTGAATTATAATCACGTAACGAAATAATTTATCTTTTTTACAATTAATAAAGTACTTTGCGGATTTAACGTAATTGCGTTGTTTATAACGGAAATCCAAGTTTTTTTTTAATTTTGCCTGTCCGTCCGCAAGTTTGCGTTTGTTCCTGGTAATATTCGAAACGGCTGGAAGGATTTTAGCGTGACTTTTAGCTGATGTTTGCGGGAGGAAATTAGACAATTGAAAAAATCGAGAGCAATAGCAAGTAGTAATAAAATTGATTATTTTCAAACACATAAATCTTACAGTTACTTAAAGTTAACTTGTTACTTTCGTTTTCAACGAGCTTAAAAGCTCGGAGTAATATCTTACAATACTAAAGAATGAAATTAAGCTGTATCTGCTTTAGCTTAATTATACATAGAGAAAATAAAACAAATGACTTAAGCAACTAAGTTATTTTAGATTGTATGTAATTTTAACCTGAAAGTTAAATCTATACTCTTCTCATGAACTCTTTCGAAGTTGAGATTCTTTGATGATTCTGCGTAATAAATTTTTAAATAATATTTTAAAATCAGTCTTTGATTAATCTTTCAATTTATAAAGACTATAATTTGGTAAATTTTGTTATGAAATTAGTCAACAATTCTGTCTGGAATAATATTGTAAATTTAGGGAAAGGAACGAGGTAATTTTAGTTTTCTAGTTGGAGATTTGTCTTTACGATACAGTGTCGGAGTTTCATCATCTACCTACAGGCTTACAATGATTTGTAAACATAACCGTGTGTTTCCATTGCTATTTGTATAGATCTTTCCATAGCAGTGGAAACTTATATTAAGATCTAACTTACGTATGTTCACAGCTGCAGTTCTCAAACTTTTAATATTTGTAATTATTTTTTCGCGTCGCACATTAAATTCGAGTCCTAACTTTTTGTAGGTACATAATATTAAATTTTCGACGGATTTTTCCTCTGGAAACCTATAGTGCCACTTTAGTATTTCATTTATTATGATTAGTTCCTATTTTAGTGGACCTCCTAGAAAGACTGCGAAACACACTTTGAGTAACAGCCTCATAGTAAGTACTTCACAAGACACGATGCATAGACACTTGCTTTTGTTCTGCCAGTCAAGTAACTGGAAGTTTTATGCTTAAGCTTTTATATATTACTAGCTGTCGCCTGCGACTCCGTCTGCAATGAGTTAAAATTTTATCTAGATCCGTTCAGCCGTTCTGACGATACCTTCATACATCCATCCATCTGAACATTCGCATTTATAATATTAGTAAGATATTGGTTTTATTTAATAGTAATAAGATGTACATTTGACGTACATTCCATAAATAAAACACTAGTAGCGAATGTCCGGTGGACAATTTATCTCGCCGCCCTTATCTCTTTGTAACACAACGGGAGTTACAATATTTAATATAATTTATAAAAACTAAAATCACATTTAATGCCTACAATTATTTAGATAAATAGTTTACCTATAATAAGTATAGTAAGAACTTAGTTTTCCGTAACTAAAAATTAAGCAAAATCAATAAATACTACGAGGCAGATATGTTTCATCATCAGCTCATACGTCCCCACCGAGGGGCTCGGAGTTTACCCTACGTTAAGGGTGATATGTTTGCGTGGTTTGAACTAAATTGGTCTTAATAAAATTGTAAGATTAGATGTTGGATTAAGAAAATAAATAATAAAACAGCAAATAATTTACTTACTTAATATTCATCACAAATAAAATAAAAATATAGTTCGGTAATCGAGATTTCTTAATTGATATTAATTATATGAGATAAAACCTTCGATTTGTTTCATAAAGTTATAATTTTATTGAAGTTATTTTTGTAGTTTTTTAGTTCCACTTGTATCATTAATGTGAATATTTAATGATATTGGAAGGATTCTTCTTCTTCTTCTTTTAATTACTAGTGGACGCCATCGTTTAATTTCGATGATCAACCAACGTCAAGGTTGAAGGTAATTGAAAACGTAAAAAGAAACATTAAATAGCAAAGAACAGAGAGGTAGACGGAATACAGTTCTGTTTGACAAATGGTCGGTTGATGATGACGGTTGCGACTCTGAAAAAGGATAATACAAGGATTCTATTTAAGACTGTTGCTAATCGTTGTCGTAAGTTGACATTCGGAGTTTAAATACATTTTTATTATTTTCGCACTAAATTGTAACGATATTTTATCAATATACAAGCTAAATATAGACATTAAAATATCTAAGTTTTATAACAGTTGTTTATTTCAAGGCAATATTTCTATTTATTTAATTCCAAGGTCACAAACTTGTCTTATTCTAAACAAATGTCAAATTTTACGCTGTTCAGTTCAATTGCCGCCGTATGCAAGTTGCATTAATCGAATCAAAGCAGGAAATAATAATATTAAATAACATGTTTTTAGTTCTCACGATATTACAAGACGATTAAAAAACAATAAACCGCAAATCATCCTCATTTTAATACAAAACGGGTGATATTTTTTTGTAAAATTGGTTTAAGAAATATGAGTAACAAAAGTTCTCAAAAAAGTAAATGGTCATAGCTGCAATTTACTTAGAACCGATCGATCGAGAATCGAATTTTCTTAGCGATTAAACACTTCAAACAAACGTGTATAGATAAGGCAATAATTGTGCATATTTACGGGTAATTATGCTTTCTCGTATACATGGCATATATTTAATGAAGCACATTAAATTCTAATTTATTGTTTTATAAACACATCGCAAAAACATACTTTTAATTTATCATAGCAAAAGTTACGTTGTCAACATTTTTTGCGGATGTTTTGTGGCAGGCGCTACTAAACGCGCGGATTATCTCAAGTCTATCTTATCACAATTTTGATAAAGGAAGCCTGACAGCGATTAATTTTGTTATTAAATCCAACAAAATTCGTAAATCTTGCAACATCCAGCTCGAACCACAATCTAGCACCTTGTTACTAACATATAATAATGGCGACTGACTTACTCCCAGTAATTTAACCATCTCCCAGGTTAGCCAGCGAATGCGCGGCCCCACCTGCACTTAAATCATTAACGGGCCACTATTTTCTAAAATTACCTGTCGACGTACGATTTGCCACGCCTTAAACGTACTTGGAAAACTAAAGTACGTTAAGTATGACCGTGTTTTACAATTAATTTTAAAATAATTGACATTCGTAAAACCTACTATTTATAATTGGTATATCATGTAACTTGTATATTTTTAAGAATAAGAATAACAAATAATGATATAAATTATACGTTCGAAAGAATCTTATATACGTTTGTATATATTTCCTAATTTGGGTGGTCTTAACGGGAGGGAATTTAAGCTCCACAAAGCCACATATAAAAGCTTATTAAGGGATCAACTCAATCGCTGGTGAATTTATTACCGCTTCAGTGATTTTTCAACAATGATTTATCGTTCATTGTAAAGATACCGGAACAGGCACAAAATAAAAGAAAGGAATAATTCAAGAAAGTTGAAGTAAAGAGAGACAGATGCATCTCCATATTTATATTTTGTTATAATGTAAGAAATAGTTAATTCAAGATGCAATTTAATCGATACTATTGTTTAAAATGTGTTATGTGTCATTAATATTATCATACTAGCTTTTGCCCGCGACTCCGTCCACGCAGAATAATAAAAATCTTAATAAGAAGCCAATGAGCGCTTCCAGACTATGTACTCGTATGTTTTACATCTGTGCCAAATTTCGTTGAGACGTTTTCGAGATACCTTCTAATACATCCATCCATTTAAAGTTTCACGTTTATATTAGCAAGATAGTGGCATACATGTACAAAACTATGTATGAATTACAGACCAGTTTAAGAAATAAATGCACGTAATCGAAAACTCGCAAATTGGCGCTCGTGTCACGTTAACGTCTGGAGTAGCGCGGGGGTGCGGGGTTGCGGGATGCACTCCCGCACACGAACTGGATCCCGAGAGGACAGGAAAAAAATAAGGATAAAACAGGCGAGATTAAAACTAAAACTATTGTTCCTTTAACCGGAGCCTCGCCGCTACTGAGCCGGGAATTTCTCTCGCTCATGCATAAATTCATCTCCGGTTTTGTCACAACAGATTCGTATAATTGAACGTTTAGGAGATTTAGATACGAGAACAAGTATCATAGGAAAATAGCATTTATCTTAATAGTGTTAAAGTACTGTTTACTGTGTACTGTAATTTTTTTAATCTTTTTACAAACGGTAGCGTCAAATGGACAGTTCTTTTGGAATATAGTCTTTCGTTTTTAAGTCTTATTGTAATTTTCCGTTTTGTGATTGTTTTGATGCTCTTTTGTCGGTACTTGAAATTGGAATGAAAAACTTTTACGGCTGAAATAGATTGAAAGCTGTTTTGGGAGCGAAAAAAATTAGGCCGTTTATCTCCCAACTATATCCGGGTTCATACTAGAAATAGGAAAACACTTTATCGAGATTAATAACTTGAAACCATTCTAGAATATCAAAAACTTAGTTTCTACTACTACGACTGATGAGATTCGTTCATTTAGCTACTTAAATATAATAACAAAAAGCTGTATATTGGATTTTAGGTACAGAATGGTAAAAGTTTTTATTTATACTTTTTCTCTGTCCAATGATCCTCGAAAAAGGGTTGCATGTTTTTTTTTTT